AAAAGAAAATGTTACATCCTTTGAACTCTAATTTGGGAAATAATCCTGAAATCAGCGTGCTCGAACGACAGCGTTTGCGCCTCAAATGGCAGCAAGAACAGCAAAATCTCGCGTTTTTCAACGAAAGCGTGTTTTCGGACGGCGTTTTTTCCGACTTTAACGGCGACCATGGCTTCGGCGAGCTGCTTATGGGCGGAGCGATGAAACCCGACCCGGATGTGGAAACCGGGTGGGATTGCGGTAACTGGTCCGGGTTAGGCTGCGCCCTACCCAGAACCGTCAGCTGCCCGCCGAATATGGCGGCGCTGCAGCCTGTTACTGCGGCCCAGGAGCCGGCCCTCAGCTCAGCCGCCGCCTCCGCCGCAAGGGAGAGCTCCAAGAAGCGAAAGGCCGACAAAAATCAAAACCCTAAGGTAATTATCCCAATTCCCTATTTAATAATTTGCTGGAAATTCGAAATTCTTTTGGTGTGTCTGTTTCGTGTTTAGCTGAATTTGAGGATTTTATTGGTCGGTGATTTTTTGTTTCTTTTTTATGGGAAAAAAGGTGTGTAATTTGTGCTTAGATTAAAAATAGTACTCTTATAATTATCCCAACTCCCAAATGTGCTGGAAATTCGAAAACTTTTGTATTGTTCTGTTTTGTGCTGAGCTGAATTTGGGGATTTTGTTGGTCTGTGAGTTATTATTATTATTGTCATTATCATTGGAAAACAAAGTGTGTAATTTGGGATGTTTTTTCAGGTTATTGGAACAGAAAATTCATCATCGGAGGATAAAAGGATGAAAATGTATAATAAAGAAGAGGGTTCTAAAATCACCGAGCAAAATTGCAGCAGCAAAAGCACCACCACAACTGTTACAAACAGCAAAAACTCAAAATTGCCCTCTGCAAATGCAAAGGAGAATTCGAAAACATCCGAAAACCCGAACCCGAAGCCCGATTATATCCACGTACGGGCCCGTCGAGGTCAGGCCACCGATAGCCACAGCTTGGCCGAAAGAGTATGATTTTCTATTTCATTTAAATTAAAAAAAAAATGATTGGCCTGACCCCGTCTAACCACATCTAAACATTAGATTGTTCCACACAAGANTTTTTTTTTTTTTTTTGAAAAGTTTACAGTGATTACTTAAGAACTACTCTTGAATTTTGGAAAGTCTGTATTTGTTTCGAATTTGTGAGTAGTGTCATTAGTCTTGAGCTTCCATGGGCAGTTTGCGTAATTCGTCCTAAATTTCGTGCTGTTTCAGATCATTTGTCGAGCATTTTTTTGCTGATGAGAAAAGGGTGTTCTTTTGTATTGTTGATGGGTAGGTAAGAAGGGAGAAAATAAGTGAAAGAATGAAATTCTTGCAAGATTTGGTCCCTGGGTGCAACAAAATAACTGGAAAAGCTGGAATGCTAGATGAGATAATCAACTATGTCCAATCCCTACAAAGACAAGTGGAGGTAACTAAATATTTATTAAAAAAAAATAAAAATAAAAAAAATTCCCAATTAGTAATGATAAAAATTGGTCGAAAATCAAAACTAATGTTTTCTGTTCCTCTTGATTTTGCAGTTCTTGTCTATGAAGCTGGCTGCAGTAAATTCAAGACTTGATTTTGACATTGATAACTATCTAGTTAACGATGTAATTCTCTTGAAAATCACCGGCATTTCGAATTTTCCTATGTTAAAAAGTTGAAAATTATTTTACGATCACATTTTTTTTTTTTCAGAATTTATGCCCACAGATCGGGACTTCATCAAACGTGCTAAATCCGGCTATGGTTCGGTTTGATAATTTAGGACAAGGAGTCCCGAATAATGCTAGTCTTGAAATGGTTTCGGATGCTATGGATTCCACTCTGAGGAGGACCATAAGTGCTCCTGTTTCAATCCCTCAGACATTTCTTCATTCACAATCCAGTTTGAATGTAAGAAGATTTTAACATCGAATTACAAACACTTAACTTGAATCTAGCTTTTATTACCGAAGAGCCCGTTATGCATGTTTGGTAAAACTAACCGATAAGCTAACCGATAGCTGAGAAGCTAGCTTATAGCTTATAAGTGATTTTCGAGCTTATAGCTTATGATTTATAGCTGAAAAGTTAGCTTATATGATAAAAATGTTCTGTAAAATTTTTACAGCTGATAAACTAGCTGAAATAAAAGTTTCAACGAGTTTATTTGAAAAGCTACCCAAAGAAGCTTATGAGATAAACTCGAGCTTTTTAAAAAAGTTCGTCCTACCAAACAAAACTTATAAGCTAAGCAAATAAACTTATAAGCTAGTTTATTTTATTACCAAACATAGCCTATATATATTTGTAACTTTCATCCTGCAATTGGCTATTTGTAGTTGTTGAGAAAATATTTGTAGTTGTTTGTAACTTTTATTTTCTTTAGTTATATATATGTTTATCTGATGGATAAAAAAAAAAAAAACAACTTTACATGCAGCAAATTCAGCAGCTAACATGGGAGAATGAACTGCAAAATCTCTACAGCATGGAGTGTCAACAAGGAGAAGCAACACCGTTTANTTTGGTGTTTTTGTGCAAATTATTAAGCATACTAGATTTTGCGCCACTTGATGATTAGAGAGCATGTAACCCCATGAAAACTGTGGAACATAAGAGCATAGAGAATTAAGATAGGAAAATTAAGTCTCCCAAAGGTTAATTGTAGAATAATTTGACACGTGTAAGATAATAATTGGTTACATAATAGAGAATACTTTTAAATACATTTCAATGCTACGTGGGATTTTTTTTTTTGGATCACGTGACAATGAAATAGAACAATCCACGGCCATTAGAGATGTTCTAACTATTAATGTTTTTGTGGTCCTCAACAGTGGAATTTTGCTTGTAAGGTACCTTTCTTTTTGTCTGTCTTCCACTTTAGATGAATTAAATGATCCAACACAGCCCCTTTTTTTCCCCTCAATTGTCTATTTATTGTCATATATACAGTATTCACCAGAAAATACAAGTAATTCCTTCATTAATTTCAATTCATAAGTGACTTCAAATGTATTTTGCTGGATAATAATAATGATAATAATAATAAAAAATGTTAATAATCAACATTAGAAGCAAATTTGTAGAATAGACGCAAACTATCGGTAGGTTATTAGTAATTTTGGAAGATAGTTCGTATTTCAATACATTTGAAGAGAAATTTTATTTTCAATTTTATTTTATTTATTTTTTAATTATCTAACTTACATGCATCATAATCATAAAAGCTCAAATCTGACATAAATTTTGATATTTGCAGGTGTACTGGAAGCAGGCCATGTGAAGCTGGAGATGTGAAAGCACTAAAAACCAGTTGTACTGTACAAGCCCTTGAACAACAAATCCTATTCAACTGTTTGTTTGTTTTTTTTTTCCCCCAAACTACAAGTTGTGTATAATTTATGTATACTTCCAAGTTGCATATTACCAATGAATATGGTTAGTTACAGATAATAATGCAAGGTGTGCCCAGTTTTGTTCTTGAATTTCTTTCATAGATAAAATAAACAGACTTGACATCGTATTATATAGATACGAATACGATAATGGCCCAGTTATCTTTTGAACTTTCGATCTCGTTTATAAATTTTTGGCTTTTAAAGAAAGATTGATGCTGCATGTTTGTGAAACGGTTGTTTTTATGTTAGGTTGTCTAATGGTCAGCCATTTTTTTTCAACATATATGTACTTTCACCGTAAAATCATATGTCGTAATTTAAGATACAATACAAACAAGACTGGTTTTTCATAGAATAAATATGTATCTTCTGCAGTAACATTTGTGTTTTTGCAATTATTGAAATATCAATCATACGGAT